GCAGCTCTCAGCTCAAGCCAACGGCTAGCTGCTTTACGGGAATCTGGGACTCTGCCTTCTGACTCTAATCTAAAGAAGGCAGGAACCCAGATTTTATATAAAATCTTATAATTTTAAAATATTGGCAACAAATTCAATTTAAAAATAAAAACTTGAGAAATGCAGAAGTTGTCTGTGGGGTGGATGTAGTCTACAGTGTGCCATTTTGAGACTTCTATTTCTGAACTTTTATTAGAAACAAGATAGCAAGCCAAGTACTATGCCAATATATTGTGTCATTTCTTCTTCCCAAATGAGTGCATGAAGATGGGCAAAAAATAATCAGGGGTTACATTTGGACAAAAAATATTTGTTGGACAAAAACTAAACAGGGGTTGCACTTCAGGAATCACTTCAGGGCTCGCTGTCCTAGCCAGTGTATCCAGAAACAGTGGCATTAGAAGGATGCTGATGGTTTTCAGAAGAAGTTGCATCTTCTTGTCAAGTCTGAACTGTCTCACCCCAGACTTAGAACTTGGCCAGATGTGGTCTGTTGTACTCAGAATACTCAGTGTGGCCAGTGGCCTTGCCTTCTTGGCTGCTCTCCTGTCTACCACGTCCCAACCACAATGGTCTCCAACTGCTCCCTCCGACAAACCAGACCCAGCTTGTCACCACTTTACAGCTTTGGCCTTTGCGGTGTTCTCTCCTGGTTTTTCAATGTCAGCTTCAATGATACCTCCTAGGATAGTTTCACTCAGACCATTGAGGGTAAAACAGGTCTCCACACCCATTCAAGCTAGTTCATGTTCTTCAGATCGATTATCCTTATGCGACACTATTCATTTATTCACTTACCTATTTACTCTTAACTCACTAGAATGAAAGTTTAAATAACATGAGGGCAAGGTCTTCATCTTTCTTTTTTACGACTGAATCCCCATGCATGCGGAATCATGCCTGGCATCCAGTAAGTGCTCAATAAATGTATTGATTATAAACACTATCAACAATAACTACATACAGAGCTTGTCATGTGCTAAGCGCTGCTCTAATTCCTTTACAACCTTTACCCATTTACTCATCTCCACAGCCCTGTGACGTAGTACTATTATCATACTCATTTTAAAGATGAGAAAACTGAGACACAGAGAGGTTAAAGTTACGCAGACAGTAAATAGCAGTTCTGGGATCCAGATCCAAGCCATCTGGCTCTTGAGTCCAACACCAGTGTTCACTTTCCAGGGTCCAAGTGGATCTTACACTGGGGCTGGAGTTGGGAGGAAGTGACGGCTGGATGAAAAAGAAATCTGAACACTCATATGCGAGTTTCATCCCTAAAAACAGAGAAGATTCCTTTCATCTGGCGTGACTGTGTGCAGCAAGATGGAATCATTTTGAAAAATACATTTCTAAGTTGTAATCTTCTTAAAGACATATATCCATAAGCCCTAATTATTCCCTCTCATCCTGTGTTTCTGCTGTGTTGATTTGCGAGATAAAGCCACAGGGCCACGTCTGTAACATCCTGATCTGTTCCAGGAATGCCTGTGATGAATCAAAATATTATTCTTTTAACAAATGAAGCAGTAAGCAGCAGGAGTTGAGTTATGAAGGACAATATTCAGAGAATGTTTAGACACATGATTAAATGACAATTTGGGGAGGAGAACTAGAAAAAGGAGATTGTCGACATCTGAAGAGATTTGTGTGTGGAGGTTGTGATGCTGCTTGTGAGTGAATGCCTGCGATGGAAGTCTACCTCTGTTTCCTGCTGTTTGGAGGAGTCTCACTTTCTCAATTTATATTCCTGACAGCCCTTTTTGTTCCTTCTAGTTACTGCCTTGGCACTTGACTAATCTACTTTTTCATACATTAGGGTTGCGGGAGAATGCAAAAAAAAATCACAGGTAATATTTTATCAAAATGTCTAGATCCAGTTGGGTTTGTGGAATCAGACCTTATTCAAGACCTCCTTATGAAGCTTGTTCATCCTAGACAATGAAAACAAGACCTGGAATAATTTGATAGGCATTTTGATTAATGACTTGAAAAGTCACTATCAGTGGTTTACTTAAATATGTCTCGCTTCAACGCTTAAACCAGGAGTATTCATATTATTGTCCAAAAGATCAGATAGTGTAGCCAAAGTGCCTCACACAGTTCTGGGCCCTTAGTAACTGACGCTGCTGATGATAAATACAATGACAGTTACCAGATTCTTAACAGTCTTTTATCCCAGGTTAGAATGCAGAAGACATGCTGCTCTTATACTATTGCATCCAGACTTGCCTTAGCCCCACACTATCCCAAACACTGTTTGCATTTCAAAGGCAATGGGAGATGGCTTGCTTAACAATTTTAAATCAATTCACTTTGAATTCTCCTTTGAATTTCCAAGAACTGACTACCTACTGGTGATACAGATGCTTGTGCAACTCAAATCCACATGGGCCCCATCTCCACCCATGGCTACCATATGCCCCCTTGGCTGTGTTGAGAAGTTCTCTGGTGCTCAAACCAATTTTATTCCTTGGAACCAGGGCTGGTTTCATGGGTGTTCAGCCTATGTTTGCACAGGATCTGTACTCAGACACGTCTCTGTTGTTTTATTTTATTTTATTTTATTTTTTGAGACAGGGTCTCATTCTATCACCCAGGCTGGAGTTCAGTGGCGCTATCTCAGTTCACTGCAACCTCCACCTCCCAGGCTCAAGTGATTCTTATGCCTCAGCCTCCGGAGTAGCCGGGATTACAGGGTGGGCACCACCGGGCCCGGCTAACTTTTTTGCATTTTTAGTCAATATGGGGTTTCACCATGTTGCCCAGGCTGGCCTCAAACTCCTGGGCTCAAATGATCTGGCCACCTCAGCCTTCTAAAGTGCTGTGAATACCAGCATGAACCACTGCAGCTAGCCCCAAGTCTCTTTTATGTTAATACTCTGTTGTCACCACTTTGAAATTCTTAATAATTCATGAAAAGTGACCTTGCAAATTATGTAGCCAGTCCTGCTAGAAACATACTGAATACCTGATATGTAGAAACATAAACAATTTTATAAATTTGGAATTTTTAAAATGTTATCAAAGTATTTTGTAGTTCTGAAAAAAAAATCCCACTGTAAATAGTTTAACCAGCTCTTAGAAGAGTCTTCTGAAATCTCAGTAATTAGGATCAGAACTAAAATAAAATTTCTAATGAGATGAATTACCAAAATCCATTTGAAACTTGATTTGCAGAAGATGAGGCCTATGACAGAGAATATGGTGTTCTTAGGGACACATCTTATAGCTTCTATCATTCCTTCTGGCCTACTCGAGGAGTTTGCCCAAAATGAGACAAACATCAATAGCAGAAAGAAAGGTTAGCTTTGGTATCATCAGGACATAAGAAAGATCATGAGCCCTAAGAAGCCAAGGGGACCCTTCTCCAAAGACCATTATATTTCCTTGTTGGCTTAGAAAGCCATGGCATGGCATGAAGCCCAGTCAACCTTACTTCCGATGATTGTCATGTCATAATCATTTTTAAATCCGAAATTCTGATTTTTAAGTAAGATATGCTTGCAGTTAGACAATGTTCAGGCATACAGAATAACCCAAATTAGTCTTAAAAAGCTTTATGTTTTTTTCTTTCCTCAAATAGAGGTCCTTCTGGGATTAGCATTATTTAGTGAACAGATGAGAATGATGCATGATTAGCATATCCATTGTTTAGCACATTCAGGAGAATAACCTTAAGCACTTTAAGAAATATATGTGTGTAAAAACTCTTGAGTTCTGTTTATGGTTTTAATGTGTTCAGAAAAGCTCTTTTTCATGGATTCTCCAAAGGTCAGTTTTTGTTCAGCCTGTGTCTGCATTTTCACAAATTGAGAATTTGAGAACTCCAAAATAAAGAGGCTTTTCTATATAATGAATAAAGATGCTCAGTGGGAAGACTTCATAATACCCAGGTTATGACTCATTCTAAATGTCTGCTTTTGCCTTTTGCAGTGAAAGATGGCTCCATTAAGTTGGGACCTATTTTTTAATTACGAAAAAACAAATGCCTGATTGTTAGATGCACGTCAAGTTATAAAAGAAACCAAAGCTGCATTTGATCCCTTGGCCAACCCACCCACCTCTCTTTGCCACTAACTCTGTTCCTCCCTGCAGCAGATACCCAGCCAGGCCTTGCCCCCATGCCTGGTTCTCTCCCAAGGACTTCAGTCCCAGTGACAGGCCTGGAAGTCACCTTTGACCCACTGTCCTCTCCATCTTCTGTTCATGTCAATCTTTTCCCAAGTCCTACTAATTTTACTGCCCAGCACCACTGAGATCCATCCACCTTCCCTGATCCCTACCAGCTCTATCCTAGTCCAAGCCGCGACAGCCTCTTACTCAGACCACCTGCCACCATCTTCTACCTCTGAATCATCCTCCACACAATAGCCAAGGCAATTAAAACATGAACCTGATTATGCCACTCTCCAACTAAAATCCTTCAGTGCTTCCTCATTACTCTTAAGAAAAAGACCAAAACCATGTAAACGGGGTCCAAGGTCCTGCAGGTTGAACATTGGCCATCCTCCTGCACCCTTGTTTCACCATGGACCAGCCTCACAGGGTTGCTTTGCCTTCTTTGAGAGCATCAGGTCCCTGCCATCACCAGGTTTTGCATTAGCTCTCCCTCTTCAGAGAATGCTCTTCCCCCAAGATCTCCCCTCTTTATGACTCAAATCTTAGCCTAAAATACACTACTTCCTTGGAGAATCTTTCTAGGATTCCCAAGACCAGGCCAAGTGCTCACCTACATTTCCTCCCAGCCTGCCTTGCCTTCCTTGCACTTGAGGAATTTATAATCAAACATTTACTTGTGTGCTGGTTTTATAATGTGGATCTCCCCTTCTAGAGTGTGAGCTTCCAGGACTCTTGCTCTCCACTGTGGCTCTAGTGCAGCCCACGGCCTCAAAGGTTGAAGGTGCTCCATTGGCACATCCTCCACCCTTAAGTGAGGAAGAGGGAACGGGATAACTCACCGCGCTCATGAGAGAGTCCAGGACACTGACGGCAAATGCTGTCCCACAGGCAAAGGGCTGCGTGAGGTACAGTTCTGTATCGGGGTCATCATCATCATCTTGGTCCAAAAACTGAACATTAGTATCGTTCACTAGAAAAAGCGTAAAATAAGAATTAGCTCTGAAGACCACACACAGGCAGCAAAGCCAGAGAAAGACCAGGCTACTGGTTTAGAAACACTGAAGTCACTGAGAAGGAAACAAAAGCATGGAAGAAGCTGTAGATGGATCTTTGGGTGAGGGGTGAGGGGGGCAGTAGGAATCAATGGACTGTTCCTGTGTCACTGTTTACGCGTCTGAGACCTGGAGAGCAATGAGTTCGAGCAGGCTTGCTCCATGGTAGGCCGCTGGAGGACCAGTAGACTGTGCTGGCCAGTCCTTTGGCATAGCTTTAGGACCATGACCCAAAAACACCTTCCAGTGTTTTTTGGTAACCAAGTCCTTTGAGAGATGGACATATTTCAATGATGAGCAGCCATGCTGGGATAGTCATTTTAGCCACAAAGAAAAGAAAGCAGCTTATTGGGAGTAAAGAGCACCAGAAGGGGAGCACAGCAAAGGCAGAGAGCAAGGAATTCACCCGCAGGCATAACCCACAGCTACCCACTGGGATTGGCCTGGGTAGTTCCCAAGGTCCCAGGCCCTGAATCTAGGTCCACACCCAACAGGCCCTGTTTAATACACAGGAAACCCCAGGTGGGACGGATGCCTGGCTGTCTCCTGCTGCTTGCTGACAAGGACTTGCTCTGAATTTTGAGTTGCATGGGAACGCCCACATTCTCCCTTTCCCCTTCTAAACAGCTCAATCTTTATGTGCTTGCATTCAAGCAGATGCAGCGTTGGATGCTGTATTTCATTTCCATCTGAGGATTCCTCAAGGACTCCTCCCGCACGCACGTGCAGACTGATTAGTTGTGTCACTCAGATGTCTTTAACTTATTAAAAATTAAATGACAAATTAATTTCCATTCCCATCTTGGCTTCGGAAATTATCAGTTTTGCAGAGCAAGTAATAGGAGAAAAGTCAGTGGGGGGATGGAAGAAGAGGGGACTCACAGTTTCTGGGATAATTATTGTGCTTTTAGGAAGAGAACTGATGAGGTTTCCTTTCCCTGATTCCTTTCTAAATGTATCAGCAGCTAATTCTCTTTTCTAGAGTTGTTGTTTTAATTTTTTAAGCAACTTTCTTGATAACACTTCTTTTTTAAAAAAAAACTTGTTTATTGTATGAAGCAGAATACTAGCATGAAAGGCTAGGCATAGAATTAGTATTTTTAAATGACACCATTTTGTTTCCCTAGACAAAGATTGTAATGGGGGAAAATCTTTGCTCTGTTCTTCCAAAATTGGTCATATTTTGGTCCCCATTGTTTCAGCAGCAATTGAATTGTAGTCTGGTGGTGAAAGTCCAAAATCCAGGCTCTGACAACTGGGCTTCAGTCTAGCCACTGCTGCCAACTTCCTTGGGCAAAGCAATTTCATCATTCTACACCTTAATTTCTCTCTCTGTAAAATGGGGGAGTTATAGGAGCTCTCTCATGAAGCTGTCAGAAGGCTCATACGAATGGTATTGTGCCCAGTAAGCCTGGCCCAGCATCTGGATCATGCCATGACTTGATAAATGCCAGCTGCTGTCATGACCTTCCTTCTGACATTAAATATCTGTCCACCCATTATAGCATGAAAATGCCCAGCTTCTCTCTGCCCCTCTTGGAAATACTGAATGTCTTGCTCAGGGGTCTTTCAAGAGGCTTTTCAAGAGCTTTTCTTCACCTCCCTTCCCTTGTCCAAAGGGATTTTGTAGGCCACTATTTAGTCTTTCTGATTTGTGAATCAGAAAATGTAAACTGGAGACCACATATGGAAGAATGTGGTTTTAGTTACTTGTAATAACCACCAATGGTGTGTAGGACAATGCTCCAAAAAGCACAGCATCTGTTACCTCTTATCAGGAAGATGGGGAAGGGTTGGCACCAGACATGGAGATGAAGAGACTCCAAGTAGAGAGAGGGGACTCCAGATTGTCAGTGAGCTAGACATTTGGGGTCATGGGAAAAGCACTCCAAGAGACTAGCCAGGGTCCAGTGAATACCCTGTATATTGTTCTGAAATACCCAGTCTCAGAAGGAGAGCAAGCAGTGCTACCCAAAGTCTATTTCACAGAACAGTAATTATGTGGGTGCTAAGAGGTACCCACATAATTACCCCAAGGCATATGTGGCCAAATACAATTGAAATCGTCAGGTGAAATGGCTTTAACACAGTCCTTTCTTGTGAGACCCTGAGGAGCCTTTGCTAACATCAACTGAGCGTCTCCAAGTAGAGAAGAGTGGAACATACTACATAGCCTCAAAAGCTTGTGTGGCTTTGGTGCCCTCTGTGTCTCTTAAAATTCATTTTACTGGTCTGGTATAATGTGGAACACATCTCAAAACATGTAGGTAAATAGCATTTGTGGAGGATGTGGGAGGTGAAGTGGTCAGAGGAGGGTGGTCTGGCAGCTAAAGAAGCAGGGCTCAAGGCAGAAGATAGGGTGTTGTGAGCATCTGCAAGATTCTCTGAACACAAGAGAGAAATCTGGTGTGGGACAAAGCCTTTGGGAGAGTCAATGATACTAATAAAATGCCAGAATTCTTGCCTTAGATTTGGGACACCAAGCTTCTCCTTAAGATCACCTGGTTAGCAGCACGTGAATTCCAAATACAAAATGAAATTCCTGGCAGTGATGATTCTGAAATACTGCTGTAGGTTTGTGAGATGGAGATGTTTAGATTAATTTGCCAACCAGAGGTGTGGACCACATGAGCTCTGGGTCTCTTATGGCCTTCCAGTTCTGAGGAGAGCAATCCAGAAACCTAGGGTTTTCAAACAACCACACTGAACATGAAAAAGATACCCCTCCTATGGTTGGAAACAGAAGATAGTGTGATGCTCCTTGACCTGAGTGAATTTGTCCTGATAAATAGCTATATCTACAATAATGCGGTGCTGAGTGGTGGACAATTTATTTCTTAGTTTCTAGACACTTCACAAGCAAGATTACTGTGTTGAAAGCCTGCTCCCTTATTTTGAAATATATTTCTGGGCCAAGAAAATGGAGTGCTCGTTTCATTTGTGAGTTATGTGAAGGCAGGTGCTCCCACCTCTCTGTCTACTGCTTTGCTGAGCAGCACTTTTGCTGTCTCTATTTAGAAGATCAATCCCCAGTTCTGAGACCTGCCGCTGATGGGTACCCTTCATGGGGTTATTAATCAAGTCGTGGAAAAGTGGGGAGGAGCCTTACAAACAGAGTCATGACCACAGGTCTTTATCTTCCACATGAGTCCATTGTGAATCTCCCAGAGAGGGTTTTGACCTGGGAGTGGGAGCCAGAGTGCAGAGCTGCACTTGGGTGGCTGTGAACCTTATCCTCTGCACCCTTCTTGAAATCTGCCTTTAGTTAAAAAAAAAAAAAAGGTTCCCCAGGGACCAGGTGTTTTTATGGCTTCAGAACCAAAGCTTCTGAGAAAGGCCCCAGTAAGGGAAAAAAAGGCAAATAAAGTCAGAATAAAGGAAAATAAACAGCTGGAGGGAAGGCGCCATCTTAGGTTTCTTATCTTAAAATTTTGATATTCTCCTTTGACTTTCTCTGAAAGCTGTGAAGACATGTCATTCAAACTGACAGTGTGTTGGAAGAGGAGTAGAAGGGAGAAGGCGGGAGAGCAGGGTGACAAAAAAGAAGTGGAGAAAAAAGACTCAGGCCAGAGAAAATGAATTAGAGCAAAGATGCTTTGGGAACAACTGCCAGGTCAGATGGGTGTGATCAAAGGTTTACGGATGCTGTGTGGGGAAAAAAATCATTAAGAAAGGCCAGAACAAGACAGTCGATTCCAACCAGAGCCACAAATAAAACACATTCAAAGCAGTGCCATGGGGTAGCCTTTCTGTTACAGCCGGTGAAATAAAAACAAGCCGATGATAGTTGGAAACACCAACAGCAGAACAAAAGGAGATACTGATGTGAAGGAAAACAGTGCTTCTTACCCAGTTCAGTTATCATTAGAATGTGCGTCCCACTGTTTTTTTCCTGATTGACTGAAACCAAAGGCAACTTGCCCGGTTTAGCTAATTGGATACAGCATTTAAGGGTTGGGGAAAGGGAGTGGAGGAAAGTACAGAAAAAGAAGAGAGTGAGGGAATAACAGAGGAAACATTCTCAAGTAAAAGGACCCCGGACCATAGGTAGTTTGTATTTTTCTGGGGGGAAGAGGCCGCTCTACAGTTTTGCAAACTCATTCATGGTAACAGGGAGTGCCATGGCCAGGTTAGAAGTTAGATTCTATCTTCCAACCAACATGACCCTCAAAACCCCATCATCTGGGGGGCCAGAATGGCATTTGCTGAAAATGGCTTTTGGCTGAGACATTCAACTACAATAGGTTCAATGTGGAGTTACTACACATTAGCCCAGGGTGTCTACCTCATTCTCAAAATGGGTCTGGCTTAGATCAAAGGCTTTGTCTATCAGTGGAGGGCTCAGACTGTAGGAGCTGTCCAGACAGAATGCTAGAAAGAGGTTCTTCCAGTAAAAATCACTGGAAAGAATCCATGAACTAAGCCATCCTCCTTTCCTCCCCATTCCCGACTGTATGCCCCAATCGCAAATCCATCATCTCATGCTCCTTTGAAAACAGTGACCAGCATGAAGGAAACTGTCTATTCATCTCAGAAGAAAGATAGATCAGTTTTCCGTTCCAGTAATCAGCCATATTTCTACTCATACCTTTCTCCCAGCTCCCTCAAAACAAACCCCATAGCACCTACAAGGTTGAAAGGGCTAAGAAAAAAACCAACCTCCTCATATCCTGTATGGTTTGAAAGAGAGAACAAAAATTCCCTCCAAAGCCGACATTGACCCCTACCTAGTTCAGTGATGATGGGGATGTTGACCCCAGTTGTGATGGACGGTTGACGTAACATCCCGTGCACTGGGCTGTTATCTGGAGAGGATCTATCCATTCCTGGAGGTGTGAACCCTAGTGGGAGAGAAGCAGAGGAAAAAGAAAAATCAAAGAAGTAGAACATTAGGAAATAATGAGAGTACAGTATATACACACAACCCCAAAAATGTAGCTTGTGCATTATTCACAGGTCAGCAATTAGTACTCCCAGGATAAACTCTAATAAGTTATTCTTTAGAAGGACAAGGTAGGATACCATTATAAATAATCGTAACTAACTTTATAGTTCCCTTAAAAAAATCCAGACTCCACACAAATTATTTATTCTGCTCAGATTTTAGCTCCCTTCTCTTTCCAGGGACACAGAAGAACTATCCCCTGCGCCTCCTTAACGTTAGATATGGCTATGTGACACATGAAATGTTCTGTCCTATGAAAAGTGAGCAGACCAACGCATATCACTGCTGGTACAGGGACTGGATGGCCGTCTCTCTCTTCCCAGGCCTTGGCAACTGTGAGAACACAAGTTACTATGGAAATGAAGACTGGACAGCAGCCCTGGACAGTTGTCCAGACCCACAAAGCATTCTGAATGAGTGAAAAATAAAGCTGTGTTGCCTTAAGCCACTGAAATTTGTTTGTTGTTACCACAACATAACCTAACTCAGCCTGACTGTCACCAGAAACCAATCAATTGCTTATCCTCTCGCTGGTGAGTGACTCGGGCCTCAGTTTTCACAGAGTTCTGGCCAATCAGAAGTGTGAGGAAATCTTCCTGGGGCTTTCAGGAAGTGTTTCCTTGCTCTTAAAAAGAAACATATAGGAAGAGATTCTTTTTTAATTTACTAAGCACTGTTTTATATGCCTGTAGTGCCAGGAACTGAGGCACCAGCTGAGGGCGTAACTAACTAAACTGTTAGTAAGATTGGCTGAATTGAATGACAGGAAGAACTGTCCTGGAGTTCCTAGGGAAAGCAGCCTGGAGCCATCTCACCTCAGGACTTCTCCCTACGTGAGATTTTATTCACACACACACGTATTTATACATATACATACACATAATATAATGAGATGTACATTTTTTTTCTTTCTAAGCTAAATGGAGAAGGAGTTTACTTGCATCTAAACCCACCTGACTGATGTATATGCCACCTGCTCATGGTTGATCCCTTGAACTTCCCAGGGTGCCCAGCACAGACCACGTAAGGTATATGTGGGCACAGGAAAATTGGAAAGCAGCCTGCTTGGTCTCTGATTTTGCAGTTTGGGCTTCTTTGGGTCTCAGGTCCAAGTCCAGAGTGCATACCGGGATAAGCTTCGACCAAACTGTAACTTTCAGTTTACTCAGGGTGAGAAATATCCCGGCTAGGCATAATGACTGCCTCTTTAAGGTTTTGCATGGACACATATCAGTATTAGAAACCTATTTACCTCCTACATTCATCTGGTGAAAATTATGTTTTCTAATGAAGCATATGGCAACTCCATGCAAGTGGCAAGACCCAATAAGCTTACATTTAGACGACAGGCAAGCATTCACATTCACTGTGGTTTCTCATTTTTGCCCTCAGTGGAATGCTACATGGACTTATCAATGAATTGGGAACTTTTAGGAAGAAAGTCACTTGCTAAATTTCCAAGGACAAAACTCCAAATAGATTACTATGTGACCAGATTCCTGACTCACTCACTCCCCAGCAATGTGACAAGATTGTGTTGAGTCTGGCATTTTGTCTAGGTGTAAGTCAGGAATGAGATACAGGAGCTCAATAATTGCCTCTTGTTTTGGAGGTGCATAATGCATAAAATACCAGGGAAATATAAAAGGGTTTTCTTACTTTCTGCTCTCCTTTGTATACCTTTCTTATCATTCAGTGCCATACTTTCAAAAAGAAAAACAAAGTTTTACTTAATACCCATTCCCTGACAGCACTTAATTTGATTCTTTATATTAATATACTGTGAAAAGGAGGAGTCATTTTGAATGACACTGTAGTGTCCATCTTTTCAAACTTTGGAATACGTGTTTTTTAGCCATTCACTTAACCAAAAACATGCATTTTTAAATGCTAGCAGTTTTCTTCCTCTAGGATGGCGAAGGGGAAAACTAAACTGTTTTCATCAGAAGTTTCAATTCAAAAGCATGAAAAACTGCAAGTGACAGCTGTGCAGATTCAGTGGATATGACGTTTTTGAATTTCTTCAACTTGACAAGTAAACACCTTAAATCGGTAATGCTATATGCATAATACATGGCCTGTATTTTGACATCCATCATCAAATGCTGACTTGAGAAAATACGGGTTTGTACGTCAAGGAATAGCACCCATAAAACAGGGAGAAATGCAGGTCACACGGTATTAGGAAAACTGTATTTCATTACAGAGCCCGCAACAAGCCACAGCATCCTTTTATTTTATCTTAGTTAAAGATTCCATTTTCAGCTGTGAAAAGACTCAATTCCTTTGCATGAAACCTTCATTTAGAAATGACATGCTTGCTTCATAGACTTCTTTCATTTTGCTTTCATATTCCATTTTCCCCTTCAGTCACCAGGCCTGGTTCCATTAGCATCTGCAACTGACAAACTATGGTGGGTGTCCAAAGATATCTCTCCATTGACGGCCTGCCTCTCCCCGACGCATGGCTCCCCAAAAAAGTACGCTTTTCTTGGCAAGAAAACTTCATGCCTCTTTTCATTTCCCTACTCTTCTAGTCACACATTTTTAAAAGCAAAAGGCAACAACAATGACAAAATTGGTTTCCTCTTTTTCCCTGGTGTAAAGTTATGCTAAAGATGAACATAATTTATTAGCATTGTTTCTTTCTTAGGGGTCCTGATATGGGAAAATTATGGTCAGAAATGACAGGGCTGCCCCAGATTCCCTAAATGGACTTGGAGATAAGTTCAGGCATCTTCTATAAAGGGATGAGGCAATCTGGCCCTTGATGCCACAGGATGGTGTCCAACCCATTCATCATAGCTGCATTGGATAAGGGGACAGGTCTAAATTGTGACCCATTCTCTAACCGTCTTGCTCCCCTCCCCATTATTTCTTGCAGCCATGGCTGTATCACGGGTAGCACCCAAAATCTCTCTACATTAAACAGCGCCCTAGTTCTGTATTTGAAAGCACTGGCACATGGAATATACTACAGGGATCTACAGCTAGGGAGCAGTGAAACTGGGAAACGCTCCCTTCATTAGTTAAACTAACACTTGGGAAATTAATTTTAGAAACAGCCACTTATTTTGCCAGAAAAGATGACTAAGAATATCAGCATTAGAGACATGGAATGAGAAGTCCTCAATCAGGAAGACTCAAGTTTAAATCATCCACAGCCGAAGCTACCACCAGATGGGCTCCTGATTCTTTAGCTATGTCTCCATAGCTCTTTGTTGATCATGGCCATGAGAGGCAAGTTTTGTGCTAAAAATGACTTCCATATGTTTGTTGGCCATTTGCTTTAACATCACTAATGATCAGGGAAATGCAAATCAAAACCACAATGCAATACCACCTTACTCCTGCAAGAACTGCTATAATCAAAAAATCAAAAAACAGTAGATGTTGGCGTGGATGTGGTGAACAGGGAACACTTCTACACTGCTGGTGGGAATGTAAACTAATACAACCCCTGTGGAAAATAGTGCAGAGATTCCTTAAAGAACTGAAAGTAGAACTATCATTTGATCTAGCATTCTCACTACTGGATATCTACCCAGAAGAAAAGAAGTCATTATTTGAAAGAGATACTGGAACACATGTTTATAGCAGCACAATTTGCAATTGCAAACTTGTGGAACAAACCCAAATGCCCATTAATCAACGAGTGGATAAAGAAACTGTGATACATATATCATATATGTGATATATATCTCATATATATATATATATGAGATGGAATACTACACAGTCATACAACCATACAAAGGAATGAATTAACAGCAATTTGCAGTGACCTGGATGAGACTGGAGACTATTATTCTAAGTGATATAACTCAGGAAAGGAAAATCAGACATCGTATGTTCTCACTGATACGTGGGGGCGAAGCTATGAAGATGCAAAGGCATAAGAATAATACAATGGAGATTAGAGACTATTATTCTAAGTGATGTTAACTCAAGAATGGAAAACCAAACATCGTATGTTCTCACTGATACGTGAGTGCTAAGCTATGAAGATGCAAAAGCATAAGAATGATACAATGGACTTTGGGGACTTGGGGAGAAGAGTAGGAGGGGGAAAAGGGATAAAAGACTATAAATATGGTGCAGTGTATACTGCTCAGGTGATGGGTGCACCAAACCTCACAAATCACCAATAAATGTGGTATTTGGTTTACCACTAAGGTACAGGTGGTATTTGGTTTACTCATGCAACCAAATACCACCTGTACTTCAATACCCCAATAACTTATGAAAAAAATAAAAATAAAATAAAATAAATAACTTTGAGAGGCCACCTGATCTCCTTACACTGAAGTTTTCTCCCCACTCCAATCTTCAGTGGCTGATGTGGCAGTCTTTTGTTATCTGTTTTATTCATTTGGCATGAGGCATAAATGCCTTGACCAACTTTATCTCATGACACGTATTCCCATTCCATATACTGTATAAGAACTTTAGGCCAGAGACTGGATTTTCATTTATTTGAACTTCCAAGATTATCTACACAATGTCCAGAACATAGAAAAGAAATAGAATGGAATCGTTAGGAGCATGGGCTGTAAAGTCAGGTGTCCTGGATTCAAATTCTGGTACCTCCACTTATGAGCCATGGCACTATAAGCATTGTGCAGACGCTCTCCAAGTCTCTTTCTTCATCCATAAACCAGGCATACCTCCTACACAGGACCATTGTAAGGATAAAATAAAATAACGTATTCAAGACATTTAGTACAATACCTGGTATGAAGCGAGTACTCAAAAATGCTTGCTACCAATATTAATATTTTATTAGGTAAACAATAAGTATTTATGGATCACTTCCCTTTCCCTAGGGATAAAGAACTGAAGAAGTATTTAGTAGATTCGTAAAAAAGAATTTTCACACAGAGAAAATCCTAGAAA